ACGATCCCGCCCCGCGAAATCCGAACCCAGGACCTGTCAGTTAAGAGCGCGAGCGCCGAACCATCAGACCACTGAGCTGGCCGGCATCCAACGGTGTTAATGTCTAACTTCGACCAATCCACGAAATTGCTCCACCGTACGCCATTGTCTTCAGTAAGCTGATATTTCACAACAAACTTTGTTGAACTCCACTGGTAACAGCTTCTAACTAGGACTCCAGGAAATCCCTCTTGAAGTCAGTCCCCCCCGCGGGGGGGCGGGATTGTGGACGCACATTGTTGAAGAGTCTCATACCACGACGAGACGACCGACCAGTGCTTCCAGGTTTTCCATGGTGGTCTAGCTTCAATTGATTCATGATTTCAACTACTGAAATAAAAATCTTAAACAGATCAGAACAATTTCTTCCCTCTCTCCCGCTCTCTCTCTCACACACAAACACAACAAAAATTACCTTTTTGTATAAACCGAATGTAAATGGAAAACATTATGTTAAAAAAAGTAGTATATTTTTATCCGATTGTAAAATTGAGAAGAAAAAGAAAGTACAAAAGCAAATCTATGCAAAAGTATACATTCAAGAAAAGAGAGATAATAATTGAAGAGAAGAAATGAATGGAATGGAATGAATATAACAAAATTAACCTATAAGTAGTATGATTCATTCAAGATAATTAGTTATAACTACAAATGTAAATAGATACATGGAGAAAGGAAAATGTAAACATTGTAATTTGGAATGACAAGATAACTATTGAATAGAGATAAATGTATGATTTCAATTTACTTTGTACAGAATATATATAGTTATATACTATTATTTACCTATATAAATTAATGAAAAGAATAACAGAATTAAGTTGGTTAAGTTATAAAGTTTTTAAAAAAAAACGAACCAAATAATGTTTAAATGAAGTTTTTTCCCTAAACTTGATAGTTTAATCATGCAAAATTCATTATATTATTGAATCAACAATCATCAGTATATTAAGGTAGTAAAAGTGAACTTTATCAAATGGATATAGCAATTAGATCTTAAGATGAAGTTTTATTTTGTGAAAGAAGAAAGGTGTTAAGGAGATCAAATGTATTTCTCAAGAAATGGGCACTGAAAACACTGGGAAACATTTTATCCAATCAGAATTGAATAGAAGTTTCTCAGAAACATCTAGTAAGTGAAGAATTGCATGTCATACTTCTGATTGGATAATTGCCTATACTGATACTATGTTCAGTATGGTGGATCCAGAAACTACCAGAAACACAAGGCAATCTGAAATACTATGAATACCCACGATTCCCTGTGCATAAATAATCTTGGAGCAAAGGGTTCTTTTCACACTGCGCATTTTCTCTCGTAGACCCCAGATGCCCTGGTACGGCCGACGGTACGGAGTCAGCCCACCTGCTTCAAATGATCTCACATGGCCACATGCATACAACCACTAAGAGGGAAGTCCTACTCACTGCCTTCTCGCGGCATTACTGTTGTTTACGAAATTCAGAGGACGAAAAGCCTATGTTCGGAACTTTAACCGGGTTGATGGATACAAAGTCTACCTAGGGGAGTTGGACAACGTGATTCCAAACTAATGGTGCACATGGGCTTCGGTATCCTGAAGGATAAATGTCGTATGAACCAATCGTTGGTCACCAGCTACCATAGGATTGCATCTCCTGACGTTGCTGTACTACATTGTGAATCAGACCTTTAGGTAAAACGTTCCGGGTGTGGCCCCCCTAAGAAAACTACCTGCCTCGGTTTGGTCACCCGGGCAGTATCCCAACCTTCATACAAATCGAATGATTTATGTGGCGCATAACTATTTGGTACCTCTTTGTACCAATATTCATGTGTTTAAATAAATAATAAATGTGTACATTTTAGTCTGGGGTTATAAAAAAAATTTAGGAAACTGATTCAAGTGTACAGTTGGAAAACTTATCATAAACCACCCAGCTTAGATAACAAAACTTCATTGAAATTATCTACCTGACTTATAAATCTTTTCAATCATATCAAAATCATACGAGCATAACAAGTTTTTAATGATTATTTATGATCATTTTAGGAATATACTATTTATAATATTACCAAATTAAAACATTTATTATGAAAAAGACTACATTGAATGTTTATACGATAACATGCAAAAAACAATTTTCACTTAATGATAGATATATCAGTGTATATATATTTAAAAGTTACTATATATTAACTATCGTGACTATCGTAACCAATGATTGTAGACTCTTGGTGACATGGCTCAAAATCGATCACAATGATGTCGGTGTATACACTGTCTATCTTCTCTTAAACTATGAGATTAAAATCGCTTCATATCTTTCTTCCTATCAACTAATTCTTTCTTCCTGTACTATATCCTTATATGCAATCTTTCTTTTATATATTACTACCATTGACTTAACTACTCCTATGAATTCGGTGTTCATCTTGTTGTGCTAATGAGGTATGGCAAATTGGACCGATGCATATATGTGCCTGGTCCTACGTTGTAGCTGAATGACATATTAACTAGACCAATGTGAAATAGCATTTCCTTAATAAAACTGATAAAATAAATTTATAACAGATTTCTTTATAGAAGGAAAGAATAACAGTATTTTAAACAATAATGACCATAGGTATTGTGTATGACAGTTTGGTTGATTACAATAGGCAACCAAGAAGTATTGAATTTTATTTAATGTTTGTCTGTTTATAAGATTAAGTAGGCATTTAGACTCTAGAGTCAATAAAATATCTTAACCTGGTCAAGTGTATTAATAATCCTTTTCTTCATTATTACAGTAGTGTATGCTACATCTGTTGGCAGACATAAGTAGTATGTAACAGCAGTCGGAAAGGGAATGCCTGCCAACAGAAGATTGAAATGAAGAGAAAAAGAAGGAAATCGGACAGCAACCGAGATAACAACAGAATCAGAAGAATAATGAAGTATGTAAAGGACACTGCAAAGATGTGCAAATGATGTACTTAATGTATAATTTCCATATTTTGCTTAGCAACTGTATAATTGTGCATTAAAACTGAGTTCTCGTTCACTACACTACTACTTCTTTTGAAACCGTGAAAATGAAACAGTAGGAAACGCTGATTTATAGAGGGAAATATTACACTATTACTACATACATAACTTCAGAACTGAGCATGTACTTACAAACATTGGTATATGGAGGCATCAAATATATATGCGCCACACAAATGGTTCGATTTGTGTGAGGGATGGAATACCGCCCGGACGCCCAAACAGAGCATGGTAGCACAGTGTAGTGAACGAGAACACCAGTGGGGCACAACCAAATGTATTTGAACACAAAATTACAGAATGTCTTACTAGAATCTGAGAACCATATGGTAAATACTTCATTTACAAAATATCACTCAATTGTCTCAGACTAAATTGTTTCTTCGTTTCACACCAATCACCCTCTGTTCTCATTCTCTTCGATCTTAATCTTCTGCCTCCAGACATTCGACTTTCGATTGGTGGTACATACTACTTATATCTATTGACATCAGTGGCATACATCACAATAGTATAATAGCAGAAGTTTTTCTAGAGTATACCTTCTAGCATCAATGCACATAAATGTCTACATAACATTGGAAACGTGTAATACTAATGTTTAAATCAACAATAATGAAAACTTACATTGAAGTTTTTGTTCCCGTATAAGAGACACGTGTTTTACGTCGTAAACGTGCAGCTATTGGCTCGTCTTCACTATAGTTAATGAATAGTTATTTTTTGAAAAAATGAAAACAAAATATAATACAGTTGGAAGAATGAACACTGAAATTTAGATGAACATTTATTGAACACACTTTCTTATCAGAAGGGGTTTTGTGGAGATTGTAGTAATTTCGGCGGTCGAGATCATGAGTCAATTGAAGCCAGGCCATCGTGGAAAAATGGAAGCACTGGATGGCTGTTTCGTCCTATTGTGGGACTCCTTTGCAGTACGCAGCCATGATCTCGCCTCGCGAGATTCAAACCCAGGACCTATCAGTCTCGCGCGTGAGCGCCTAACTACTAGACCACTGAGACGGCCGGTATTCAACGGCGCTAATGTCTAGCTTTAACTAATCCACGAAATTGGCCGACACATCCACTATTGTCGTCAGTAAGTTACTATCTCACAACTGACTCGGTTGAACTTCACTGGTCACTGTTTCTCACTAGAACTCCAGGATATACATCTTGACGCCAGTCACTAGTGAGAATATGTTGATTAGTATCAAAAGGGGTTTTGTGGAGATTGTAGTAATCTCAGTGGTCGAGATCACGAGTCTATTGAAGCTAGACCACCATGGAAAACCTGAAAGCACCGATAGGTCCTGGGTTCAAGTCCCGCGAAGCGGGGTCTTGGATGAGCACTGATGAGGAGTCCCATAATAGGACGAAACAGCCGACCAGTGCTTCCAGGTTTTACATGGTGGTCTAGCTTCAATTGACTCATGATCTCAACTATTGAAATTACTATAATATCCACAGAAACCATTCTGATATTATTCGATGGTGTGCTAGACCAATTTGAAAACTTCCTTTGTTGTTTTAGTAGGTTAACTTGCTAAAGTTTCATAGTTTATTTATTTTATTATTACTATTAACTTTATTCAATATCTAGGGATGAAGTGAGAAATCCTTTATCAATATGATTAGATTAATTATTGAAGACAAAGTTGAGAGTAACGAGTGAGATTTTTATTCTCATAGGTAATTAGGGATCTGTGTGTTTGATAGAATAATGTTTTACAATCTTATGGATATTTATTTGATTTATAGTTGTAAAATTTGGTGATGATTTTTTATATAGACATGGAGCACTGTATTACTTGTTAAAACACCATTGGATAGCTTTGAGTCGAAGCTTAGAACATTCACCCTAAATACCTACTTCGATCTGGACAGTTAGGGGTAGTATCACTAGTGTTTTTTATCCTGATTGTATTCTCTTTCTTTCCTTTCTTCTTTGAAATGTTATATCTGTGTGTTATGTGGTGTATGCTGTTTTTGATGCCCATTTGTATCAGATTTTGTATGTATTAAATAAGTGAGAACACGTACAGAAATTTACCTTTTAAAGATGCGAGATAAACATGATAGTCCGTCCATTAATGAAGAAATATAAGTTTAATCCTAGTCTGTAGCATCACAGCAACGATCATCAATCAAACCCTATGCAGAGAACTAGGAACCTTTGGGTTTTTTCATATTAATATGAAGGTTCCGATTGCTAAATGCATACACCGAATAAATCCTAGAATATAATACGATGATTAATACACATGTTATTTTCGAAAAATATGGCGGTACTGAATTTGGACTTGTGGGATTCAAAACAGAACACTTTAGAATTAATAAAGGGACTGAGTAGTTGCATTACAACTCCAGTTTTTAGTGATTTCTTCGAATTATATCACTTCATCAAAGAAACTACCATGAAAATAAATGCAATCAATACATATAGATGCACCAATTAATTTATAATTATAAATCGGCATGTGGTAAGACTCACATATTACAAGCGACTTGTACCCTTGGTTTTTTCTAAAAATAAATCAGAAAATATAAAATAGTGCAGTATTTAAACAACCGGTTATTCAAAAAGAGGGTCCACTCTCCCTCTTCAAATGCTATCACATGGCCACGCACACTTATATGATTAATACCCCTCCCTATAGTACGACTGCTTTATCATTTTAGCTATGAATTAGCGAGGTAAAAAGTATACGAAAACTCTAAAAACCAGAACCAATAGACAGGCGAAAACTGAATCCATTTTCACTATGCAAACCGATTTTGAGCTACATCACTCCATGTCCTTAATTGTTAATCGTGGTAATCGGGTGGACTCAACCAGGATTAGAACAACAGTCGATTATTTTGTGGACTGACGTCACGTTTTGACTTGACCGGTCCCACTTTTTCCCCAACCTATTACTACATCAACCGATATTACATTGAGACAGACGATGATCGGGTATGAGTAACGCATGTCCCAACAACCTCAGTCGATGACGATTCACAACTACACCAATGGAATCGCTTATTACCCTGCGTCTAACTTGATTAGTGCTCACTAGAATGTTCTAACATACTCGAGAATGTTTCACATACGACGAAATACTGGTAATCCATAAATTTTCTCTGAGCATGAATATATTGCATAGCAGATTGCTGACTCGTTTGATAACTGTGACATGTGATTTCCTAAACCAAAGTTTGAACAGCGGGAACAATCGGTTATGGGAATGGCCTTGGCTGGTTTATCCGACCTGAATATACCGCAAGTGCTTTTACAAGACTGCACTGAAAATAAAGCCGTTGAAACGTTCTCTACAAACAATACCAGCCTAGAATATAAAATAAACAAGATGTTTAAATTTTGAGATGTGACCATTTGAAATCACTTCAGCGTACTTCAAAACCGATTCAGACTACTGGATCACTACAAAACAATCTTTAAGATGTGACTAATTTTTAATTCTATCTGACCAATACTGAAGCTTAAATTCCCGACCGTTGTTGTTACCTTGACGTGGTGGTCGGGCTTGCCTATCGTGATGAAGCAACCGAGCTATACTGGCTGGAACAACTGTTCATCAAGGTCCTACCATGTCAGACAGGTCGAGTGAAGAGCGGTAAGACTAAAAGCAACAAACCCAAGGTCCGAAGGCGAAGTCGTACTGCTGACTGTACAGAGGTGCGACAGCAGTAAGGTGTTTCCTTCAGACAACCAGCATGACAGCGATGCTGCCTTCCCACAAGGAGGGGCGGGGTCAGAAAAGGTCGACCCTAAAAACGTACACCTCGCCTTATCCCACGGATATCCGTCTCCGGCGGTAAGGTCCCAAAAAGTACGGAGCTAACACAAAAATTACCCATAAAAAGGTCGTGTGTGATTGATTTCAAGCAGTTGTCCCTTGGGCACTGCGGTCACACTCCCAGGTCACTAAAACCACCTCTAATCCAATTTCCTTTTCAGGTACCTCCAGAACAACCCTTTCACGGTGTGGGCAACCGGGAAGTGATAATCGCCCTCATACCTCTAACAGCACTCAAGACCCCTGTATTCATAATCAACCTCCGAATGACTGGAACTTAAAGTACGATATGCAAAAAGAAATAGTTTTTTTTTAAAAGGTACCAACATACCCGAACAGTAGATGGCTGATGAATACTTAAGTCATTTTCAGTTGAATTAGAGGTTGACATTTTGCTGTGATCCAAAGTAGATGAAGTGCTAACATTCGCACGTCGTCTTCTCTGAGTATTGGCTGGCTGTAATCGCCTGTGTCGAGGAACAAGTGTTGGAGGGGTTACAGGATCGGCAATGACTACTGGGGAATTCATTACTTCAGACAGATGAGACGAATTAGTTTGTTTGCTTAAACGGATCAAATATATCAAATTATTTTACTTTAATCAGATCAGTTGTATTTATGATAAGCTTTACAGAATAAATTTTACATGTAGGGTGAATGAATTAGTTAGCTGAACATAACATAGGACATGTGTGCGTCGGTTCAAGTTTGCACACCACAACAGCATAACCAGATGTGGCAATGGTATGTGCGGAAATAGCATTAACAGAGGTGACAAAGATGAATCATACAAGATATCGTTCGAAAAGAAAATATGGATTCGTACAGTGAATAATTAAGAATTGGAACCTACATGAGGACCATTTTGAACGATTTTGAGTCAAGTCACTCAGTCTCTAACCCTTGGTCACAATAATCGCATGGAGCCCAACTAGGTAGTATGTACCTATATGTATAGCTTAGTTCAATAGCCAATGGTTTCATGGACTTACTTCACGTTTGCCTTAGACACCCTTACCTAGTTCTTTCTTCTAAATTTATGCAGACATCACTTACATTTTTATGGGACTTTGTGACGATCATGTTATACAAAATCTTACCTTTTTGTTGACCTCATATTTGGATTCTTTTGGGCACTTTTCGTCATCACTAAACATTCAGACTGATGAGACAATGACTGATCACTGACGACAGGAGTTGCCTTGCGTCTGGGTCGAAGCTGCCGAACTGTCGGAGGAACGGCAAAAGTTGATTGAACCGATGAATCAACGACTGAACTATCAGGTGAAATTTCACGTTTTCTCTTGGCATGACACTTTTTAACCGTAGCAATCTCTGGACATACTTCTTTGGATGGTGAAATATTCTCCTTATCTAGAGATGTGTAATTAGCAACTGTTTGTTCATTACATTCCTTCTAAAATGAATTTTCACAAAGAAATGATTAAAAATGATCTGTATGGCTAATTTACATTGTTTACTATTCTTTTTCATATTTTCATTTAAGTATGAAGCACTTAGTACAATCTGAACATGTTCTCTTAGGTTTCCGTTTTTGTACTTTTGCAATCAAGTTTCTATTAGTTTCAAAGACCCATAAACCGTTGGATTTAAGGTTAAATACAAACATTATATAAGAACCACGATAAAAGAAAACACACACCTGGGGATATTTAGTTGGACGGGGAGTAGACTCATTAACAGGTGATGATGTGAACAATCCATACTGTCTAGAGGATGCCATATGTGAACTTGTCCGCAAATCACCGATTTTAGAAATTCTATTTGGTTTCAGTGACAAAGAAATATCGAGTGAAACTATGTCACATGAAGTTCGAAGGCTAAGTTATAAGGTGAGAAAGACAAGTAGTAAAAGGTTAAGACAGTAAATACAACTAAAAAACTTATTAACATCAGGAATAAATATCATAATTAGGGAGAAAGTCAATCAGTCAGTCATTCATAACGTTGAAAAACCTACCTTGTGTTCCCATAGTTATCAAAAGTGAGAGTGTATTTTCTAGCTGTATCAAAAACAGAAGTCCTCCGATTACCCGACTCGTCGTAAATAGAACAGTCACCATTTGTTGTACCATCAAAGATGTAAGATCTGTCCACAAAAGACTGACCAGGTGGTGTCCGTGGAATTTTATCTCGCTTTTGAAAAGGATCCATGTACTGAATCACAAACTCTGACCCTGAAGATTAGCAAGACAAAAGAGTTGAAACACCACTTCAACAAAAATGAAGTCCGAAAACTTGTCAAAAAATAAGAAAACCAGGCTGTAAAACTGTCAAATGTGTTCTGCACTAATAGCTGTCAGTAAGTCACCTCCCTAAAATATAAGTTTCAAAATATCTTGAACGTAAATTCTCTATATTCGCATTAATACAACCTGAGTCAACATGCAGCATTGCCCATAAATAGTAAAGAAACCGTTTTATCTTCCAACGAAATAAAATTATTTAGGCAGTCATGTTTTATAAACATAATGAAGGAAAATCAACAATCATCACTACTTATCAAATATGTGGTGAACAATCAAGATAGGTCTCAGTTTCCGCTCACAAAAACCTGAGAATTATGGCAAACCACAGCCTGAAAGTGCAGACAATCACGTTGTATTCGCACTATAATCGTGATCAGAGGCTAACGACCTTGAGTGTGATGACGCAGATGTACTGGAACCTTATGTATTGCTCGATTCTGAATTGCAATACTATTTCGTACTTTTAACTTTCCGAATTCATCACTTCTTTCCGAACCATACTGCTGTTTACATATAATTTCTAGGGTTAAAACGTTTCAAGCCCTTACTTAATAACTGACAAATTACGAGCCCAAAAGATTGTTATGAGCAAGACTGACGAGATGCTCGGGTTGATAAAAAATGAACGATTTGAATTTTGGTAACGGATTCCAAGAAATATATTTCAACTCGAGTTAAACTGTTTTCCTTAACTAGACTTTGATTAAAATACAGAAGAACCTATCAGTTGCATACCTTCTGGCACACAGATTTTCTCACTGGCTGGCCAACTATCGGATGGATTATTACCATAGTTGATCTATTCGAGAGACAAATCATACGCAAAAACTGGTAAGAATCTTTTAGTCTTTTGATTATGAACCGAAAACGCACTTGTCTACGCGGAACTCATTGGAGTCTAACAAATTATGGAGTAACTGGACCAAAGCCCTCTAACATAATTCAAGCTCATATAATAAATAGAGGACTTTAGGTGTTGTCATCATCCAAGTGTTAATGTTTTCATTAACTGAATTGAGTGATTGAGATTTCACAACTTAAAGAATAGTAAAAATCAATCAGATGTGAAATTCTTACTCTAAGACAAGTAAATCAGTCTACACGAACCGATTGTACAAAAGAGCCACAAAACGAATTTACGTAACGCACCAAGGTCACCGTTCCGAAGAAACGAGGTTATCCATCCTCATTTCAATACTTATTATTGGTAATATAAAGCAGTTGTAAAATTTGTTCGATTGTCGTGGTTTTAATTAAGGGCTGACATGACTTAAAAAGAAACTGAAGAATATGGGGTACCTTTTTACGTTGAAGTGTCTGACTTTTCAGGGGTGCGAATCCAAGATCTCAGCGCCACAGGCGTAGCCTGTGTACCACTCACCCCAATCAAAGATCTTGGATTTTTTTATGACTTAACACCGGTCTTATGTACGCCGTGATTTGTATTTCCCGTTGGATTGTTGAGAGGGTAGACTGATTTCGTAACATGCTAAATAGCATAAACGAATACTACGTCCACATACAAAAAATAAAATAATCGAGGAGGTAGGGTCAAAAACCACCTAGATCTACCATTGTTTTGAAATCGTTTTTGCGTCCTTTTTGAAGAGGAGTGCTAAGGCGAAGATTTAAGTAAACGTGTTTTGCCTTGTAGCGGTAAATAAATCCCCAAAATAAATAGCTCTGTAAGTTTTCGACATTGGATGCTGACCAGAATAATTTTAATGGACTCACCTAGCTGAAGGCGCTCGGTCATGCATCCGCACCAGATCACTTGTGGGAACACCGTGCTCAACTACTATTGCAATCGCTAGCCAGATTAGGTCAGATAATTCCGATATATTGACAATCGTCAAATACAACTTCTGATCTCCTCGATTCTGTCTTTTGATTTCTCTTGGTGGGTACGAGTTATATAAGAAGGTGTTACTGGTAAAAGCGTTGTCAAACACTGAATATCTGTGCCGTCTTCATTGGTGAGCCTAACGTGATCTGGTACACCAAATCGTAAACTGTGAGTCTGTTCCATTTTGGGATTCTAAATATCATTGCACAATTCCTCTCAGTAGTCAAGGCACTACCGCGGGAATTCAACAAGTACGTAACACCTAGTATGTTTGCTAGCGATGTTTCTGAACCGTACGAAACATTAAAGCGTTTCATCCTTAAACGAGGAGACCTAACCGATTGACAAATGTTAGACCAACTCTTTAATAACATAGACCTGCAACACTGTTCTGCGACGGACATGTTGCAAAGGATGAGAGAGGTTATAGAACTAAGAACTTTCGACGAAGGCCTATTCAAACAACTTTTCTTGTCCAAACTTCTCCAACAGGTGCAAGCGGTTCTGGTCTCGTTTCAGAACAACGCCTTAGACGAACTGGCTGCATCTGCCGATCGCATTTTAGAAATTACGAGATCTACCGAGGTTTTTACGTCAAAAAGCCTCAAACGACTCAAAATGGCATAACCGAGTTATGTCACACACTTACACGTTATCTTAATTTTTGTAACGACCGTAAGCGATCACACACCCCACGTAGAAGCACTTCACGTAAGCGATCTGTTTCTAGACCACGAGAGACGGATAATCCTGACTGGTGTTGGTATCACAACCAGTATGGAATGTCGTCCAGAAATTGCAGAAAACCCTGCAATTTTCCCATCTCAAAACCGACTGACTCGAAAAACAACTCGGGAAACTTCCAGGCCGGCACGCGTTAACGGCAACCGTAGCCGGCGAACATAGCCGTCTGTTGTACGTCACAGATGTGACAACGAGAGTTCGCTACCTCGTCGATACTGGCGCAGAAGTTAGCGTTCTCCCAGCGAATCCCAACGACCGGCTTCACGAATCGGCTCTAAACTTACAGGCGGCAAACGGGAAACCTTTCGCTACGTATGGCAAAAGGTACGTTTACCTTAACGTGGGTTTACGCAAACCCATTCACTGGATTTTCGTTGTTGCAGATGTTTCTATGTCAATCATTGGTATGGACCTTCTACAACACCATGATCTGATCATCGACACGCGCAAACATAGGCTAGTGTATGGAAACACTAATTTGTCCGTTTGCGTAACTTCTTTTTCTGGTTGCAGATTATCCCAAGTCATAGTTAAGCATACGATAGACCCACTCTATCAACCACTACTCGATAAGTACCCTGGGATACAACAAACTCAACCGAAACTACCGTGTGTAACCAGCAACGTTACACACCACATCACGGCTACAGAACCACCTGTATTCTCTAAAGCACGACGACTAGCTCCCGAAAAGCTAAGGTTAGCGAAAAACGTGTTCGATCAGATGATAGACTTAGGAATCATACGACCGTCAAACAGCCCATATGCATCTCCGTTGCACATGGTCCCTAAAAAGGACAGTAACGATTGGCGTCCAACTGATGACTATCGGCGATTGAATGCAAAAACCATTCTTGATCGTTACTCGTTCCCTCACATTCACGATTTGACAGCTACCTTGAAAGGTACAACTGTTTTTTTCGAAAATCGCTTTGGTTAAAGCGTATAACCAAATCCCTATGGCTACTGACGACATACCGAAAACCGCCATCATTACTTCCTTCGGACTCTATGAATTTTTGCGAATGCCTTTCGATCTAAAGATTCATAGACTACGTTTTCCGAGGTCTCAACTTCGTAAATGCGTATGTTGACGACTTAATCGCAAGTCCGAACAGAGAATCACATCTCAAGCATCTGGATCTTGTTTTCGACCGACTGCAAAAACATGGCATTACCGTAAACTTTCAGAGATTTCAAATCGGAACTGACTCATTAGATTTCCTAGGACACACTATAGATGCTCAAGGCATTCGACCCCTTAGGACCAAAGTGGCGGCAATTCTGGAATACTGAGAACCGACCACGATTAAGCAACTACGAATGTTTAACGGCCTCGTCGATTCTGTCTTTTGATTTCACTTGGTGGGTACGAGTTATATAAGAAGGTGTTACTGGTAAAAGCGTTGTCAAACACTGAATACTTGTGCCGTCTTCAGGCTTTTCCTTAACTCTCTCCCTCTCTCACACACACATAGACACCAGGTAAGAAACTTTTTCAATACCGAATGTTTTGTATGTATGTGGCGACGTGTTGGGGTTAAGATAAGACTCTAGGGGTGTCAAGCTGAATAACAGATTGTGCTTACCTGATTCTTTTGATAACATGTGTGTAATCCTCACTGTTTCTTACTGACTCCATGATCGTGACCGACAAACAGTCTAATGTCAAATATTATGGCCCTGTAGAACTAGGGTCTACTTCGTCATTAGCACTGCTCTAATAATTGATCTAATCCTAAAATTGTAGATTTTTCATGATGTGGCTGCCTGATCTATAAAATCTCACGTGGACGTCACATCTTTGTCTAAACTGACTAATCGTATCGTAACAATTACCAACATGTCTGAGGTTTCTAAAGAACACCTTCAGGCCAGAGATAAAGCAATATATTTATTGGAAGACAAGTTATGCAGAATGACCACGTCTGTGGGGCTGAGCCATGCCATCCAGTTGAATCTTGAGTGAATTCTTACCTCCTTCTCGATTATTGACCTACCCTTCGGGCTAATTGTTGAACATGCATTTTCCCAGTTATCTTATGTTCGGCTTTGAGGATTGTGTTGTTAGAACTAATACTACATACATGCAGCTACCGATGACTATCGGGACTGATGTGTTCGGCACCAGCATCAAGCACTTATATCGTCACTTAGAGCGGTAAATAAATTCCAAGACAAATAGTTCTGTAAGTGTTCAGCATTGATGCTGACCTCATAAGTCTCATTGGACTCAACCTAGCTGACAGCGCTCGGTCACGTGTCCGCAACACATCACAAGTGGGTACGTCGAGTTATGCATGCCTCGCAGCTACTACCCAGCTGAGATCAAACGTTCCTTGGCATATCGATAACTGTCTGAATACTTCTTCCCACTTTTACATTACTGACTTGTGATTTTACTGGGTCGGTATCCCTCGATTATTTAGGTATTATGCATAAAGACGTTGTCAAACTCTGAATATCTTTGGTATCTTGACACTGATCTTGGAGGGCTGTCTATTATTAATAATGAATATTTGGATAACGACCAACGCTGTAATTTCTAAGTGGGAGCTGAAGGTGAAGAATATTATATTCGAGTCGTAAATTTTTTATACAACATAATCTGTAAGAGGTGGTTTTTTGTCTGTTGAAGAATGCTATATAGAAACGATCAACACATGACTTCAAATTGGAAGAGGCAGATGTTTTTCGGTGAACGTCAAATTCTCCCTCAAATTCTGCGCCTCATTCATAGCTTCAAGGACGAAATAATCAAAAACTTTAACAAAACTTTAACACTACTCATCAAAACATTCTGAATATTTTTGACAAGACTCCATCAATACTTTGAAAATGTAATGATGTTATGTAATTTTCCCTTAGTAAAATATTCTTTCGAATTTTATGAAGCCGTATTCGTTGGCGGTCTTTCGTTTGCCGCGGTTCGGTCGTACTTCGGGCCAGCGGAAGTGACATGACAATAACCTGCTTGGAGAGGGATGGTGTCGTTGCTGATCTCCGTTTAGCGGATTCCTTTTATTTGAAATATGAAGTTCGGGGTGTCTTGGGTTCTGGAGCCAGTAGTACTGTGCGACGTTGCATAGAAAAAGACTCTAAAGCCGAATTCGCTGTTAAAATTTTGGATCTTAATAGTGGTGTCGACACCTCAGAAGTTATACGTTCAGAATGTATGCGAGAGGTGACAATTCTTAGAAAAGTAGTCGACCACCCCAATATCATAAGAATTCATGATGTTTTCGAGGGGGATGCATACATATTTCTGGTCTCAGAAATGTAAGTTTCAGCTTTCACTTTCATGTCTTTAGTTGTCAAGGTGGTGAACTTTTCGACTATCTTACCCACAACGTCATTATTTCCGAAAAACGTACTCGTGCAATCATGCGGCAGCTGTTTGATGCTGTTAATTTTATCCATGACCGTCAAATCGTCCATCGAGATCTCAAGCCGGAAAACATTCTTCTTGATGAAAATCTTAACATAAAAGTTACGGACTTCGGGTTGGCTGTATTTGTTGACGATGAAGAAGAGCTTAAAGGTACTTTTTACCTCGTTGAAAGTTGCTATTGGGTCAAGACTACAAAATTTTTTTCGAATTAACTTCTGGCCCTAATGATTATATTCGTGTACACTTCAGGGACATTATATATATATATATATATATATATATATATATATATATATATATATATATATATATATTCAACAAAGCTAGTTTGCAAATCTTACTACTTTCTGCTAACCGTCATGTAATCTGGATAAAAGTACCTCATACTCTCAAAATAGCTAGTTCAGTCTACTGTAGTTGATCCTTATTCCATTGCGTTAAACAACCAGCCTTCATAGGTTCATTTCAAGACTACGCCTTACCTACTTAAGTTTAGGCAGTCTCATAGTGTTAAACCTTAAGTAGAAGAATAAATTCATGTTAGTTTACTCAAGGTTTTTATGTTTGTCCACAATTGACGTGTAGTATATTTGTTTGTTAAGTGCAGTTATTTGTCGTTTTAGCAGTGCTTCGGTACAGTTTGAGCCAATGTACATATATGCGAGGTTCTACTTTGGATTTGACTGACTGACGATACAATCTTATCGAGGCAAGTCGTTTTGCCGTTCTCTATCATTCTATACAAGACATGACTCCAGAAAACCATCTTATCTCCCTCTTGGATTTCGATCGAGCATATGCTCAAATACTCTCAATCCCACAACATTCAAGGTAGACATCTGTTAGATCATTTGGGATACCCAGAATTTCTCGACCTAGTTTAAAACTAGCTGGCACTCGTTAGAATGCTAACTTAAAGCTCCAAGCAAACTGATTTCTTTTGTACGGTTCAAACTCAGCACCAAGTCTGAGTGATGTCTTTACTAACCTAAACTCGACATAATCCTTATCAATTCCTTGAAGCTGGCCGATTTATCTTTTCAAATTACAGTATCATCTGAATAACTCAGCGGTAACGTCTTGGGCTCGGTTTAAACCGGGCGGTCAGTCATGCGTAACGTAAAACATGATACATATCCACCCACCAGGTTTCTATACCTTATTGGCTGAACGCGGAGTTTCGGTTTCACGCTTCATAGATGAATAGCATTGTGACCGGAAAGTCATAAGTTTGGTCCCATATAAGGCCGTTAAAACAGGCAGTGGAAGAGACTCAAATTACTACGAGACAACTGCTTTTCATTCTGGTTTTCGACGGTCCTGTAGCTAACGTCGGTACCTAAAGAAATCAGTTTATTTGAAATCTACACAAAACTATCTAAATTAGTTTTAAAGAAATGAATCGTTGTTCTGTAACCAACAATTTGATTATAAGTACTGTAAATTTGAGTTACGCTTCGAGTGCTACAAAGCTCATCCACTTGTTCACTCATTGGTAGATATCTTTACAGCCTAAGTGTTTACATCATTCTTATTGCCAACATTTGAGGCTCCTGATTGAAAACTCATTGAACGTACATATATCACTAATTAAGCAGTTTCCAATACCAATTAATTCTTTCACTTAGGTCTCTCTTTTTAGTATTCGGTTTTACAGACTTGAACCACAGAAAATGTTTGCAGATATACATCTATCAGTTAGCTAGGTCAAATAACAAGCAACATTTTCCACCTTGTTCTCTCTTCATTTTAATCTGCTTATACGTTTCCTAAATAATTTTCCGAACAGTAGATCTTTGTCGTTAACTTGCCTAATTCTCGGTCTAACTCAATAAAATTCGAATGCACTGTCAAAATCGTATGTGTATCTGGATTTTATGGCTGTATGGTTACGAAGTCCTAAGTGCTTCTCGTTGGCAATACGGCGTCACCGTTTAATTTTAAATAAATTTTTACCTGTTAGAAACTCGTGGAACACCAGGTTACTTGGCGCCAGAGGTCCTGATGTGTGGTTACTATGAAGATCAACCTCCTTATGGTCAACCTGTAGACATTTGGGCATGTGGTGTGATTATGTATACTCTGTTAGCAGGTTGTCCCCCTTTTTGGAATCGTAAAGAACATTTGATGCTGCGCCAGATTATGGAAGGCCGTTTCTCTTTTCCTAGTCCAGAATGGGATGATATCAGCGAATCTGCAAAGGATCTAGTGAGTTGCTCTATAAATATCTGCTTCCTTTATTTGTTATGTACAAACGTCATATTCACTGAAGATATCGTAAATGGCCTGGTTAGTGGAGTGCAAGTTATTGAAATGCAATTTAGTATTGTGCTTAGTACATTTTCATCAGTTTTTTTACGTGAGTTAAGTTTGCTTTAGCTCATTCTTGTAAGTACAAATATATGTTACCTCCAATTTGTAGCCTTATTAGAAAAACGACATTAAAATCCTATATATTTTACACAAAAGTGGCATTCTTTTCCCACTATTTAGAATATTTCGTTGGATTCGAACATTGTCTTTTAATAGATGCACATAGTTAGTCAGAAAACACTGAGTTTTTAAGCAATAAACTGCATGTCCAAGTCTCGTTTTTTCTGCTGTATCTTGAGCAACCGCGTTGTTTATTAACTTGAATAATAAATCAAGTAGTTTCTTGATGATTTCTTATAATTTGAGAGTCATTTTCATAACGAACTCAATTCAAATAGTAAACCAAGAAAGAAAGAAATGGAGCTACTGCTTAAAACTCTAAATAATGCACGTACCGTTACACGCGTATCTATCTGCCTCGTTCCTCAATACAGTTCTGACTTCAGTATAATGTTGTGAGAAAGCTACGGGCGGCCAAATGAAAATGTGGCACCAGTCCAAGAGGTCATTGCCTGTTGACCTTAGGTGTATTGGTAAGTGCAGACTGATTGTCTGGGGTCTACTCGATGGTCTTGATCAGTGGTTGAAGACATTGGGTCAAATGTCTTGAAATCAGTTACAATTGCACAAACTCATTGATTCTTTATCTCTCGAGTTTCAATATCAATTCATATTTATTTGTTGATTGATAAACCATAATCTTGTTCTTTCCTTATTACCATTAACACTTCTGTTATTTCATCTTTCCTGTTCATTCCGTTAGTTTAATCCCACTACCCTTATGTTGTGTAAAGTGTTGAACCGATAAACTTTTGGGTTAAATTCTTCATTGTTTATGATTAAATGTTACAACCTTGATCGCACTAGGCTAAGCATAAATTCAAACATCTAACCTAATAATTGAGTGTCTGAGCTATTATTTTTTGTTGAAGAAATCTTCAATATTAGAAGTATATATATGTAATAAAGAACATTCCACTATCCTCTTTATACGTATACTTAACACTATACATAATATTTGCTGTTGACATTTTCGATTAACATTACTTACTTTCATTTTTATATATTTTTCCGTATTTATTGTTTTTACAAATAGATATGTAAAATTCTAGTTGTGGATTCCAGAGTAAGGTTGACAGCTTTAGATTCATTGAATCATGCATTCTTCCTACAACAAGTATGTTCATTTAGCATTTTGGTTTTTAAATTTTTAGTATATTTATCCGTCGAATATTTAACATTAATAATTTGCTGCGTAATTATTTCATGAGCAGAAATTTGTTAACACTTTGATTTTATGATTGTTAATTCCTTTAGAATGATATGTATGGGCCGTCAACATTTAGTCTTAAGTTCCTCCCATATATTGTTTGCATGCAGTTGGATCACTTAAGTAGTAACGCTGAGATCAAGCATAAGTCTATTAGTAAGACCGTAAACCCTTATCGACAGAAGTGATTGAAATATGTATGGGACATTTATCCGCTACAAACCTTGCACTAGTGAAAGTAAGAATTTGGTGGTTATTCTATCCAATATTCATTTTAAAATATTAAGACTCATTCTTATGCTTTTTATATTTTGCAACAAAGTTGGATCTTTTCTCAATGGTTGTCACTAAAATTGTCGTCAGTCAAAGCACTTATATAAAACCTTATGTGTTGAATAGTGGTTTCATGCTCATTTTCAACTTACAAGTAGTATGCACTCCCAAACTTTAAAAAGCATTTTAACTAATATTCGTCATTTGTAAGTCATTCTTATGATCAGCTTAAAAGTCTAATATATATATGTATATGTAGAAATCACCCCAAAATTAGCCAATCCCTAAACGAAAATTTTCGATCAAACTTTAAAGGTGATCATTAAGATTATTTCATACTTAAACTCGTTTCGATATTTACAGATACAATTCATATCTACTGTTTTTTGCTTTTTCCTCGTTTATCTTTGTGAAACTTTTTAATGCAGCTGGTGGCTTAGTGATCAGAGTGTTCACAGACTAAAACTGCGTTCCACCTAGTTCAGTTTACACAACCGAGTATTATCACTAACTCTCACATCTGGAGTGTAGCTCAAGGCCAAATATACGAGCTTGTACCTTGTAAATAAGTTATTAATAATGAAGAAAGTCTCTTCAAAAATATGTTAGGCAAACCACTGTTTCTATATTTTAATTGCATGCATATTTACTTCAAAAAATTGTATTTGAAGCATATACTAGTAATTTTCTCATTTATTTTATATTTGTTTCAGCCTATAGTTGGGAAGACAGCCTTCAATGCTAGACAGAAATTTAAGGTGAGACTTGAGAATAAGTGTTTATTATCCTCTTTTGCCTTTTGCTAACAAATTACGATTGTATGTCAGACTTCAGTCAGGAAAAGTTCACATCCCTGATACACCTCGCTTAATGACTTCATAGATTGGTTTTGTATTTAAGTCTAGCCACTCCCGGTTCTTTTTCCAGTTCACTCCTATGTTAGCCAGGCTTTGATTGTACTGTAGATGGTGATTAGGATACGTCTAACGTGTTCCAGTCGTCTCAGTTAAAGATCTTTAGTCTTATCAGTCGATTTACCATTTTTGTTTAAAACTACTTTTGAACTTAACAAAATTTGTTTGGTGGTTTTGTCATCCTCAAGGGGATGCTTCGACGATTCCTGTAGTCAAATATTTTTTAAAATACATCGACTTTTCACAGCCGTAAACTTACAGAGGAAAAATCTGCTATCTAGTATATTCATTTTCCGATCAACTGAGAAACATGATCTATACTACAGGTGGCGTAGGTTTGTGTAGTAACATTAATATTACTAATTTCCAAGTGGATTTGCACGTATTCGAGTTTAAGTCTTGCTTTAGGCTTCGAGGGCTATTAATACTATCTAGTTATCGAAACTTAAGTGTGTAGAGTGGAGTGAAATGGAGTTCAAACCTTAGAACAACCGATTCAAGGTTTAGTATTTTACTCACCAAACTACTGAGATTTCAACTAACTAGCCTACAAGGGCTAGTGAAACCTCAGCTTTTAATCAAATTGGGTTTATTTTCCGATAATGTATCGAGTTTCTGATTATATAGAGTATGCAACTAAGCCATTCAGCGCTGTTTTGATTTAAATATGTAAATAGTCATGACGATTTTGTTTTCGAGACCATTTATTATTCTTCAGTGAGTAATTTATCCCTTGGCGTCCTTTTTATTTTAGTATTTACTAAAATTCCGTATCAGTCAAAATTATCTATATGTGACTGAGGAGAATGCAATGAAAAATACATATAGATTCATTGCACTCAATAATTTATTTATTTGAACACATAAAGATTGGTACAAGGGAGCACCAAATACATATGCGCCACACAATAACAATGAGGCCAGTAGCAGTTATCATTTATTTGTGTAAGGACTGTGATCCTGTCCGGGTCCCCAGACCGAAGCAGGTGGTTTTCTTAGGAAGCCACACCCGGAGCTTTCGACTTGAAGGTCTAATCCACAGGACAGTGAAGCATCGTCAGGGGATGCAGTCTCGTGGTAGCCGGTGACCAACAATAGGTTCATACACCTACTGTTCCTTCAGGATCCTGGAACCCATGTGTACCATTAGTCTGGAATCAGGGTTTTCCAACTCCTCTAGGTGGACTCTCTGTGTCAACTAACCCGGCTAAAGCGCCGGACATTGACTTTTCATCCTCTCGATTTCGTAAATAACAGTAATGCCGCGAGAAGGCAGTGATTAGGACTTCACTTTCAGTGGCTGTATACGTGTGGCCATATGAGAGCATTTGGAGAGGGAGAACTGACTCTCCCTAACCTTGGCCGTACCAGGGCATTTGAGGGCCATTCAACAAACCTTGTTTTTTTCGATTTTGATACTCCGAAATTTTTTATTGTAATTACTACAATCTCCAACTTGTTTTAATTAGTCAATTCAGGATAATAATTGATCACTAAACTGTTATCTCCTTTTCCTTTAACCAACTATACAGACTGGTATGTTGGCTGTCAGTTTTATATTTTATCTACGCCGTTTAAAAGTGGATGCTGCCTATTTAAATATCAATCAGTTATCTATGGATCCATATTCAAATAAGAAATTGCGTAAAATTATTGATACACTTGCCTATGATGTTTATAGTCAATGGGTTAAGAAAGGTGAAGAACAAAATCGTGCTGAATTATTTGAAAATGTACCACGTCGTGATATGATTGATACACCAGAAGCAATATTTCACAATAGTCCAAAACGTTCAGTGTTAGCCGGTGACTCCGTGAATTATACACCTTTCAATTTTGAAGATGAAGATGATGAAGATATCAGGATACCGATTAGAATTGATTATTAATAAACCCTTTATTACAATCTGTAGTCTAAAATTAGCCCCCTCCCTACCTCCTCTCTCAATATATATATATATATATATATATATATATATATATATATATATATATATATATATATATATATATATGTATATATATATAACTCGGTGCAATAAAACAAGTAGGCCCTACATGTCTTAACAACGAAAACATCATGTATGCAAAACCTACCACTTATTCAGAACTAAACTTTCTTGGAGTATTTTCTTTTCATTTATTTTATAATGTATAAAAGAATTTATTTTTATTCTATCCTTTCCTCTCTCATTTTCATGTCTTCATTCTAGTTGTATTGTGTTATTTTGCATCATTTGGTTAGTCAAGTTGTAATAATCCTAGTTTATTACTTATTTCATTGGAATCCTCCGTTTGTTTGTTGGTGTTTTTTATTATTAATAAGAAGAAATCACTCATTTGTCATTTTTCAACTTATTAATAACTTTATTATTTCTTTAAAACAATTAGTCCCTTTTTATAAATGTTGATAGAGCGCAATAAAAAACTGGAGTTGATCAGAATGATATGATGTATTTACACCATACATTTCGAACAATCTGACCAATATATATTTTCATAAGGGGTTTTGTGGAGACTTTAGTAATTTCAGTAGTTGAAATCATGAGTCAATTGAAGCTAGACCATCATGAAAAACCTGGAAGCACTGGATGGCCGTTTCGTCCCAGTGTGGGACTCCTCAGCGCATCCACGACCCCACCCCCTACGAGATTCGAACCAAAGACTTATCAGTCTCACGCGCGAGCTGGCCGGCATCCAACGGTGTCAATGTCTAACTTCAACCAATCCACGAAATTGCTCCCCCGTACACCATTGACTTCAGTAAGCTGATATCTCACAACAGACTTGGTTGAACTCCACTGGTCACTGCTTCTCACTAGAACCCCAGGAAAATTCCCCTTGAAGTCTCACTAGTGAGCAGATGCCTATTATCAGAAGGGATTTTGTGGAGGTTTTAGTAATTTCAATAGTTAAAATCATGAGTCAATTGATTGAATTTAGACATTAACACCGTTGGATGCCGGCCAGCTCAATGGTCTAAGGGTCAAGCGCTCGTCCGTGAGATTGAAGGATCCTGGGTTCGAACCTCGCAGGGGGCGGAGTCGTGGATGCGCACTGCCGAGGAGTCCCACACTAGGACGAAACGGCCATCCAGTACTTCCAGGTTTTCCATGGTGGTTTAACTTCAATTGACTCATGATTTAAACCATTCAATATATATTTGTCAAACCATTTACGTACTATTAAATTTGAGTAAATGAAAGTTAAAAAGTGACAATGATGAGAAATAACATAATATAGTAGGAATAAAAGCCAGTCACACCATTGTAGACCATAAAATGGCTTGACAATTACCAGTGTGCAGTCATGATTATGAGAAATTTTTTTATGTACACATGAAGGGGGTTTGAATTTGCGAATACCGAACGTTTCTCCATGATGCAAACACATCGTATTTCTCACTGTCCTATCAAAGGTACTATTACTATTCAAAACAGCCTATTTTGATTGAAATACAAAAAGCTTGCCTAATATCATGAAATACTTGTCCAATTAACTCGGTGGATGGATCGAACCTAGAGGGCAGTCCTTAAGGTCATTGGCTGTTGGACTGAGTCGTTTTGTTAGGTAAAGATCGTTCAGTTGGTGTCCTTGCAACTATCAGAATTAATGGTTGGAGACTAGGTGAAATGGCTTAAGATTAGTTGCGATGGTTCACATGTATTCGATCTGTGTATTCCTTAGGGTTTTAGAATTATTCTGTCCCACGAATTCGTCCTTGGACCAGATCGTCTATGCCTAATGTTTGCCATCACCACTGACACTGTTTATGCTTCCGTCATTTCTGAGTTTTTCTAGATAATATCATCTCTATGTGATGAAATAATAGGGGGTCATAAATTGATGCACATGTTTACTGGGTTCAACGTTCTATACGATTGGCCGTATGGTATTCGAAAGGGACTACATTGCGCTTTGAAACTAGAACTTTGTGTCATAGCTCACTAACATCGCGGTAGGATTAAGAATGTTTTCCTGTGGATGTAGTTTTGTAACCATATTCTAGAAAGCTACTGCTCACTGGGTTTTTTTTGTGTAAGAAATTGACAGATTTGATAAACAGATTGCTGATAAAACAAAGTTATCAATCATAATACAAATCCATTTCCTGATTTTGTTCCTCTGCTTTGCAGACATAAAACGTCGTGAATGGGGTTGTAAAAAGGCTGATCCTACTTCATTTTAGGTGTTTTAACATACTAAAGCTCTTACAAAGAATAATAGTTAGATTTTACAGTAAACAGTTTTTGCAGTGGGGATTAAGAACTCGGCGAGAATTCACTTAGCTAAATTAAAAGTCAAATTAACCTTCAAAACGGGTTCGGCAATCTGCGATTATCCTAATATCTCTTGTATCAAATTATTAACATAGATTTCCATGAATCCCACTGTGTGTTAGAATTTTAAAGATACATATTTGGTTTTTATTTCATTCCAAACGTTGCCTTTGATGCCAAAGAATATGTAAAATGCAGGATAAACGACGTCAATTTCAAAGAATACTTAGACACTTGTTTATTTTAGTAAAAGAAGTTTTTATGATTACAGCACCACAAAGGTCTCCGGCTGGTTAAAAATAATTGTGTCCAATTGTTTTTAATTAGTCTCTTGAGAAGGGTATCAATAACGAGTAAACATATTTTCTTACTACTAATAATAAATACCGTACAAACTAAACTAGTTGATGCCTATCTGAACTCAGTAGCTTAATGAAGATAAGTAGTGGGTTCAATTTTCATCGTGGATATTGACATTGGGTTGTGAATATATTGGGATGATAAGTCATAAAAGAGAGAAAAAACGTTCGCTGAATCCCATGATTAGCTGTTATCTATAAATATACTAGAATAAATAACAATTTGATGACAGTAAGTTATGGACATAAATATAACATTCGTATGACATTTAGGACAGTTCAGTATTGTTAACACATTCAAAATACAATTATGAAGTGAATATTCTTCGTAAACAATATATAGTTATGAGATACCAGATGAAATAAGCAGCCTTACTACGTATTCTACAATAAGCACTGGTCAATTAAATTTAAACTGATCAACCTTAATTTACATATCTTCACGGGATGAAGGTTATATCAATATCCTATGAATCTAGGATTCAAGTTTCAGAAAAGTTAAGTGTCACCAAGAAAAACGTTTATATTGTAGCTGATGAATTGTACACAGTTACAATAATGACGAATACAGTTTCCAAGGTTGTGTGTGAAACTTTACTGTACAATAACGAACGATCAGTTCAGTATAACTATCGGTTATCAACTTTTCCAGCTTGTATACGGTCTCTAATCAACCATTTTGATTGACACATCAGAGTTATTGACAAACACCTAACATACTATTTATGATTTATGTCATAATAAGTATATTTTAAGAGATAAATGGACTTGTTTATCAACTTTATTAAGTGTTTTAAGTTATCGATGTATAATAAACGAATCAGTGTAAAATTAATAATTAGAATGGATTATTATTGACTGAACTAATCAATTTTGACACTTAAGGAATAGAAGGTCGAAAATGATGTTGAATAAGTTTAGGACTTTATTGAAATCACGAGCCAACTTAAGTCTAACAACCTGGGAGCACTGAGTACCCATTTCATCTTAATATGGGACTGCTCGACAGTGAGCATTCACAACCACACACGCGGGACCGGTCCCGAGCTCGAGTCTTGGATGAATAATACAAAGGAGCCGCATACTAAAATGAAACACCCGACCCATGCTTTCAGGCTGTCAAACTTAGTTCGGTTCTTAATTTTAATAAAATCCAATAACCTACACAACCCAACACTAACAAGTCTGCGATGTTCAGATTTTATGGCTAGTGAAAAACAGAACACCGCTATTTTAATATTAATAGTTGTTTCATTCATTTCCTATGAAAGTTTGGATAGAGTGGTTCAGTTATCAATGAGTGCTGAACAGTTTACCAGGTCAAAATGAATAGAGAAAGGAAAACCGGGTTGAGTATTTCCCGAGTGAACAATATTTACAACTCTATGGATAGTAATAATAAACGAAGCAGTGGATATGTGGGTGGTAAACTTGACCAAGTAAACAGTCTACTTACTAGTTGTATCTCAACCATCCACATACTTGATCTACCATACAAACTATGTGCATTCTGTCATATCCGTGGAAATGCTTAACTGGCTTGTACTTGGTACAGAAACTCGAGTCCAACGATGTGTAAGGAGAACACAAGATTAGTGATACAGATTTATTTAACCCTAAAAATAAATTAGGTCATTGCTTGTTATATCACATTTTGTAATTTAACAAGTCTTGTATGATTCCTTCGGTGTACCATAATATTGTAAATAATTTATGGTTACATAGTAATCAGTTGAAAACTATTAAATTGTCGCTAAGAACTACTCCACATAGTTAATTTGAAATATTTATAGTCTGTGACGGGTAATAAATGACTTTTATGTTTATTTGAATGAACTAAAGGTGGGTCACGAAGATAGAGTATATACATTTCCAAGGATATTTAAGTGCATTTGTGATTGAAGTCTTGAGTAACGGGGTAAGACAATTGTTAAGTTTAGACTATAGAACAAACTAGAAGAAAAGAAAGTGGGCGAAATCAACATTAAAAAGAACAAAGAGAAAGATGTGACTTAGTGATGAGGAATCAATGCGTCTCACAAAGTATAGGACTCAACACCGTTTACTGGTAATATGCCTCGAGAATAAAGTCTGAGAATCAGGTTTTTTGACGTAAATGGCTAGTGAGTAACCTCCGAAACCCATATTACCCAATCTCCTGTATTTCACAAGACCTCTGATCACGTTTATTTTTATATCCAGCACTTTATATATATATAAGCGTCATTTGAATAAAATAGAAACTTATTTTAGTACTCACTGGGATCTATTCATTCGAGGAGTTCTACTA